TTGTGTTCCTACCTTGATCTATATAAATCTGCAAGGCTGGAGGGAAAAACAAAATATGTTTAATATAGTTTAATATAGACAAATGCAAAGTTCTAAATGTTGGACAGGAAAATAACCATGACACATAAACCAAATAATGTAGATCTTAATACAATTGATTACGAAAAGTATCTAGTAGTTAGGAATTTCTTGCAAGTTCAGTTGCATGTGGAAATGTGTCCTAAAAGCCACTTGTGAGCCTGAGACGACTAATCTGTGTCTGTGTCAACAGTACTTGCCAGGGTGAGCAGCTCACAAGGAGGCAGTCCAAACACAAATTTCCATAGAGATGGTATTCACAGAAGGTGCACTCTGACTCCACTATCCACAATCAAGGGAGAAGTGATTTATTGTATTGATAATATGGTTGCAACATGACTATAATGTGTGACTTTGTTGAGTTATCCTAGGAGGTTAAATCTACATTATCTACTTTTTGTGTCCATAACCTGTGTGACGCCCAGGCCAGTGTGAAAAAATGGTTATGTGTCCAAAGCTTAAATAAATTTACTTATGCTAAAGCTGATTAAACCACGGTAGCGCAAGATAATATGGACACAAAAGGCCTAGGAAGTAGGCCCCAAAAGGGTTTGGATTTATATCTACATATCTGCAGTTCACTTATCTGTTACAAGCAGATTTAGGAAATTTGCTTAGTATATTTGATATCTTATTTTCATTAATAAGATATCTTGACATGTCACTATAATCCCCAATAAGTGGACAATTAAGCACATAGTGTTCAAGACAGTGACCATAGGCCTGACCACATAATTTACATTTAGTTTGATCATCATCTGTGTGTCTCCCAAACTGCCAGAAGTACTTGTAACCAAGCCTAAGTCTGGCCACTACAACATCAGTCAGTCTGTTCACATTGCAAGTTGCTCCATAAACATACCTATCTACATTCATAATATGATAGTGGGTTATAGATCTACTCAGGCTTCTAACTGCATTCATATAACGTTCATTTTCGTTATTTACTTCTCTCCTAATATTATTCCTAATACTAGACACAGATATACCAAAGTTATATTCTACATTCTCCTTCTGGATACTCTTCTTGGCTAACATACCAACTTTATCATGAAGGAGTAATCCAATGTGTGATGGGATCCATAGCAATTGCACATTAATTCCTTTGTCCCGGATTTTTGAGTATCTGTACCTGGCTTCTCAAATGAGCATGTTGTTGGAGTCATTATATGAGTCAAGAGTCAAGTGATGATATAGAATCAGTAATGATGATAGTCAACTCAGTATCATAAGTTAGCATTAGCGCCACTAGGATTGCAAACAATTCAGTTTGCAGTGTAGACGCCCAGTTGTTAATTCTTATGCCTAGTTCAACAAGTTTATTATCGTTTTTAACTAGGGAGGTGGCAACAAGAGCAGATGCAGCCCTGCCAGAAGACTCCTGTTTAGATCCATCAGTGTATATAACTTGTGATAACTTATTACTACCAGCTAGGCGAGAAATTTCTTCTTGAACAGTTGCTTTAACAAGTGATTTAAGGAAGGGATTACTAGCAATGAGCTTCTTGGGAGGGGGAAGGAAAACCGTAACATGACCCATTTTTTGAAACTAGCCAAATAAGTAGAAGCACTACATCAAGTGTATTATTTAGAAATCGTATATTGTTGGTGACCCGTGGCCTGGTGGCAAAAGCTCTCGTTTCACACGGTGAGGGGTCCGGGTTCGATTCCTGGCAAAGGGGTGGAAACATTGGACGTGTTTCCTTTCACCGGTTGTCTATGTTCACCCATCAATAAAATGGGTACCTGGGTGCTAGCCAACTGGTGTGGGCCAAACTTATGTCTAGAACAGATTAACTCGGTGGCACTCGATGCATGCACAAGGCTTATTCCTCTAAGAAAAAGGAGGAGTAGATGTAAAATAGAAAGAGACAGGCGCTCCCTTTACAGGCGACGGAAAAGAATAACAGAGCGGCTAAAAGAGGTCAATATATCTGAAATGCGTAGGGAGTCACTGGTCAGAGAAACAGCAAGCATCGAACTTAAGCTAAAGGAATCTTACAGGAGTCAGGAATCGCGGGAAGAACTAAAAGCCATAAATGAAATCGAAAGAAACCCAAAGTATTTCTCCTCCTATGCCAGATCAAAGTCGAGAACAACGTCCAGTATTGGGCCCCTACTTAAACAAGATGGGTCCTACACAGATGACAACAAGGAAATGAGTGAGCTACTCAAGTCCCAATATGACTCAGTTTTTAGCAAGCAGCTAACCAGACTGAGAGTCGAAGATCAAAATTAATTTTTTATAAGAGAGCCACAGAATTTGGTTAACACAAGCCTATCTGATGTTATCCTGACGCCAAATGACTTCGAACAGGCGATAAATGACATGCCCATGCAAACCATAACCCCGGCCGGGATTGAACCCGCGGTCAGAGAGTCTCAAAACTCCAGACCGTCGCGTTAGCCACTAGACCAGCTAGCCACAATAAGATTCGTCCAACTAGGTATATTTCTACACCATAGGAAGGTTAGCACAGGCACCACTGTGACCACAAATGCAATTGTGGTCACAGTGGTGCCTGTGCTAACCTTCCTGTGGTGTAGAAATATACCTAGTTGGAAGAATCTTATTGTGGCTAGCTGGTCTAGTGGCTAACGCGACTGTCTGGAGTTTTGAGACTCTCTGACCGCGGGTTCAATCCCGGCCGGGGTATGGTTTGTTTGCAATCGTGTCATTACGATTTCGTGAGTCATGCCCATGCACTCTGCCCCAGGGCCAGACTCATGGAACTCCGTGTTCATCAAGAACTGCAAGAAGCCCCTATCACGAGCTTTTACCATCCTATGGAGAGGGAGCATGGACACGGGGGTCGTCCCAGAGTTACTAAAAACAACAGACATAGCCCCACTCCACAAAGGGGGCAGTAAAGCAATAGCAAAGAACAACAGACCGACTAGGCGTTCTATTGGTACACTCTGTAATTATTATTTTACTACATGTAAACCACACAATAACCAAATTCTGTAAACTCAGCATTGTAATACTTATAGAGAATAAAGTGTGAATTTGAATTTGAATAGCACTAACATCCCATATCATAAAAATCTTTGAAAGGGTCCTAAGAAGCAAGATCACCACCCATCTAGAAACGCATCAATTACACAACCCAGGGCAACATGGGTTTAGAACAGGTCGCTCCTGTCTGTCTCAACTATTGGATCACTACGACAAGGTCCTAGATGCACTAGAAGACAAAAAGAATGCAGATGTAATATATACAGACTTTGCAAAAGCCTTCGACAAGTGTGACCATGGCGTAATAGCGCACAAAATGCTTGCTAAAGGAATAACAGGAAAAGTTGGTCGATGGATCTGTAATTTCCTCACTAACAGAACACAGAGAGTAGAGTCAACAGAGTAAAGTCCAGGCAGCTACGGTGAAAAGCTCTGTTCCACAAGGCACAGTACTCGCCCCATCTTTTTCCTCATCCTCATATCCGACATAGACAAGGATGTCAGCCACAGCAAACCCGGTGTCTTCCTTTGCAGATGACACCCGAATCTGCATGACAGTGTCTTCCATTGCAGACACTGCAAGGCTTCAGGCGGACATCCCTCCAAATCTTTCAGTGGGCTGCAGAAAAACATATAAGTTCAACATGAGAATTTCAATACTCAGATATAGTAACGGGAAATTAAGTCTTCATCAGATACAAAACAATTCTGGCCATAAAATAGAGCGAAACACCAACGTCAAAGACCTGGGAGTGATCATGTCGGAGGATCTCACCTTCAAGGACCATAACATTGTATCAATCGCATCTGCTAGAAAAATGACAGGATGGATAATGAGAACCTTCAAAACTAGGGAGGCCAAGCCCATGATGACACTCTTCAGGTCACTTGTTCTATCTAGGCTGGAATATTGCTGCACACTAACAGCACCTTTCAAGGCAGGTGAAATTGCCGACCTAGAAAATGTACAGAGAACTTTCACGGCACGCATAACGGAGATAAAACACCTCAATTATTGGGAATGCTTGAGGTTCCTAAAACTGTATTCCCTGGAACGCAGGAGGGAGAGATACATGATTATATACACCTGGAAAATCCTAGAGGGACTAGTACCGAACTTGCACACGAAAATCACTCACTACGAAAGCAAAAGACTTGGCAGACGATGCTCCATCCCCCCAATGAAAAGCAGGGGTGTCACTAGCACGTTAAGGGACCATACAATAAGTGTCAGGGGCCCGAGACTGTTCAACTGCCTCCCAGCACACATAAGGGGGATTACCAACAGACCCCTGGCAGTCTTCAAGCTGGCACTGGACAAGCACCTAAAGTCAGTTCCGGATCAGCCGGGCTGTGGCTCGTACGTTGGTTTGCGTGCAGCCAGCAGCAACAGCCTGGTTGATCAGGCTCTGATCCACCAGGAGGCCTGGTCACAGACCGGGCCGCGGGGGCGTTGACCCCCGGAACTCTCTCCTGGTAAACTCCAGGTAGGAGTGTATACCTTGTAAATGTACTTGTAGAAATAAAGATATTATTATTATTATTGTTATTATTATTATTATTATTATTATTATTATTATTATTATTAATTATTATTATTATTTATTATATTATTATTATTATTATTATTATTATATTATTATTATCATTATCATATTATTATTATTATTATATTATTATTATTATTATTATTATATTATTATTATTAATTATTATTATTAATTATTATTATTATCATTATTATTATTATTATTATTATTATTATTATTATTATTATTATTATTATTATTAATTATTATTATTATTATTATTATTATATTATTATTATTATTATTATTATTATTATTATTATTATTATTATTATTATTATTATTATTATTATTACTATTATTATTATTATTATTATTATTATTATTATTATTATTATTATTATTATTACAAGTGAATGAGAGTGTTTAGGCAGGTAGTGTATGACAACACTAGCACGAGAGGCGAGCTGGATGAGCCGTGACTGTAGAAACGTCTACGGCGCTTGAAGAAACGTGTAAGCCACGTTTACCAACCCGTGAGGAAGGAGAGAAGGAAATAACATCAATCTTCAGGATGAGCAACATTGACATTACTGACGTGGTGGCTCACATCAAACAAGAGTAAGTTGAACTTCCCTCGTTATTATGAATATCTATACAGTACTTCAAGGGAGGGTGCCTTGATGCCGGCGAGGGGGCTCTTCATCCAAGAAGTTGGAGCAATCCATCCTTGGGTTGAACCTCCAGTGTTATACGTAATCCTCGCTGGCTTAGTATTTTAGTTCACGGTTGTTCCCAGTCTAAACCATACCACGGGCGGGATTTGAACCCGCGGTCAGAGAGTATGGTTTGTTTGCAATCGTGTCATTACGATTTCTTGAGTCATGTTGACGGCAGTGAGGGGACTTGAGCTAGAGTTCGTCACGGCCACGCTAGCTGGAGATTCGTCTGTAAAAACTTGCATTTGTGGTCACAGTGGTGCCTGTGCTAACCTTCCTATGGTGTAGAAATATATCTAGTTGGACGAATCTTATTGTGGCTAGCTGGTCTAGTGGCTAACGCGATGGTCTGGAATTTTGACTCTCTGACCACGGGTTCAAATCCCACCCGTGGTATGGTTTGTTTGCAATTGTGTCATTACGATTTTGTGAGTCTTGCTCAGTCTGTCCGAACCCAATAAACTTGTGTCCACTCTGTGGTCTGAAAGATTCAGGAGTGGTTAGCTTATTTCCAAGTACCACACAGGTGGAGTTCTTTTGGTGCCATGGTTGTATTGGTGTCTTGGAGTCCCGGGATATGAATAAACATAGACAGAGATGTAAGCCATAGCTCCGTGTTTTCCTTTGCGACCGCGAGACCCCAAGCAGACATCAACCAAATCTTCAAATGGGCTACTCAAAACAACATGAAGTTCAACGAGGAGAAATTTCAATTACTCAGACATGGGAAACTTTAAGAAATTAAAAGTGTATCAGGGTATACGACAAATTCTAACCATACAATAGAGCAGAAAAGTAATGTGAAGGACCTGGGAGTGATAATGTCAGAGGATCTCACCTTCAAAGACCACAACAATGTATGTACCTCATCCGCTAGGAAAATGATGGGATGGATAATGAGAACCTTCAAAACTAGGGACGCCAAGCCCGTGATGATTTTCTTCAAATCGCTTGTGCTCTCTAGGCTCCTGTACACTAATGGCCCCCTTCAAGGCTGACAACATTGCAGACCTGGAGAGTGTACAAAGAACTTTCATGGCACACATAAGTATAAAGCACCTAAACTACTAGGAACAGTTGAAGGTCCTTGGTCTGTATTCTCTTGAATGCAGGCGAGAGAGATACATGATAATATGCATTTGGAAGGTCCTGGAGGGATTGGTACCAAACCTGCACTTGAAAATCACTCTCTATGAAAGCTAAAGACTCGGCAGAAGATGCAACATTTCCCTGATGGAAAGCAGGGGTGCCACGAGTACATTGAGATACAACACAATAAGTGTTTGAGGCCCCTGACTGTTCAGTTGCCTCCCAACATACATAAGGGGGATTACCAATAGACCCCTGGCTGTCTTCAGGAAGGCACTGGAGAGGCACCTAAAGTCAGTACCTGACTAGCCGGGCTGTGGTTCATACATCAGTTTGCATGTGGCCAGCAGTAATAACCAGGTTGATCAGACCCAGATCCACCATGAGGCCTGGTCACAGACCGGGCCACCGGGGCATTGACCCCTGAAACCCTCTCCAGGTAAACTCCAGGGGGAGCTATGGTGGCAAAGGTTGCCATAGCAGGCCCACTCTATTGTAGACTTTTGTCCTACAGTGACGGGGCCATACCCACAGATATGTCCTGGTGGGCCCTGCAGACTGACAGCAGGGTATACATGTACAGGGTTTGGCAGGATGTGGGTGGTTGGCCCTCCTCCAACAGTTTTAGTTTAATATCTTTATTATGCACCCTATACCCATCCTGTGGGTGGTAGTCAAAAGATTACAGAGGTACATAATATGTCCAGGGACTGGGCCCGAAAGTTTTGATAGCTGAGCAAGTTACAAAGGTAATGAACTCCAGGTAGATCTGGTTACAATCATGACAAGCCCATTATGTAGCTCCTTCAACAGGAATTGTCACTGAGATGAATCTCTGTCCATTGAGAAAAGGCACATGCACCTCTCCCATAGCAGGTGCTCCTGCTCCCCACATCCCCTCTGTTGGCGTGTGGTGTGCTTCTGACTATGGCACATACTTTAACAGTTTGCCCCTCAAGGGAGGTTGCTTGATGCTGGTGAGGGGCTCTTGATCTAGGGAATTGGATCTGTACTCCGGTTCCCTGAATTGAGCCTGAATACCTTCCATCCCCCCCACATGCGCTGTATAATCCTACGGGTTTAGCGCTCCCCCATAATTATAATTTAACAGTTTGCCCACAGCATGGGTCTTCCTGTCTTTGCCACGTTTTTCATAATTAGAGAGGTGCCTGTAGGAATCTCAGAGCACTTTTACGGGAGTCTCTTGATAATAAAATTTGATGAAGTTTTTAATTGATTCTAGTTATTTTAACTTGGTGTGATAGTATTTATTTATTGAGTATTTTACATGTGTTTGTAGGTTTTATTATTTGTTAATTTTATCAGTTATTATTTTGTGTATTGTATACACAGTAATTATTATTGATAAGAGTGCTGAGTGACCTTCACAGTCCAAGTGCTCTTGGCTTTTCCATATAAGAAACCTTTATATCATATATATCTTATTAGAATATATATTTTATAACATATTACCTTTTCCCACCAGAGTAGGGTGACCCAAAAGAGAAGAAACACTTTCAGACTGTCTTATCAGAAGCTTGCCAACATTACAGCTCAGATAACCTTCTGAATTGCAACATCCTCACCCCTTCTTTCAGAGTGCAGGCACTGTAATTCCCACATCCAGGACTCAAGTCCAGCTAACCAGTTTCCCCTGAAGCCCTTCATATATATTATCTTCCTTACATTCCAACAGTATGTCAAATCATAAAATCCACTTGCCTCTGCTCACTCCTAGGTAACACGCTCACATAAGCACTTCTTGCGGAACCCAGAGTGGAGCATCTCCCATCAGTGGTTACCAGCACATGTTGACATTCAGGGCAGTTAAGTGGGTGATTGGGTGGTCTCTCTCACACACACATATTCCTTTGTGAATTCACTGGGCTGCAGTGAATTCACAAAGGGTGTTTGGAGGGAAATTCGCCATCTTTGACGGGGGATATTTGGCACGATCCTTCTGTTCTTTGGCACTGAACTCAGTCTGGTCTGTCGATAGCCCCTGCCCTTGGGCTCATCATCCCAGTTAGTTGGTGGATGTTGTACTGACCTGCCTCTGGGTGGAGCATTCACGGCAGCCAGCTCATTTGCACCACCTTCGGATGACAAATTCACCACCCTGCCCTTGATGTCCCTCTCAGCTAGAGACAGTGGAGCACTTCTTGCTGTGGTGCTTCTATCACCACTTTGCATGGACTCTCCTTCATGTGGCATTACACTCATTTGGGGTGCATTCCTAGACTCTACCTCTCTTATTCATTGGGAAAGGGTTTGACCCTCCAGATCATCAGGAGATCCTGGCCTATATTTGTGCCTTTTTACTGGCCTCGGGGACATATAACACATACACCCACTAGTCAGCTTTCTTCCACTTTGGTTGAGGTTTCCTCCCCTGGACACTAAAAGGCAGGGCTTGTTACAGTAACCGTATAAATGCCAAAAAGTTGGATATCCAAACCCCAAGTGCTGCACAAGTGACTCGGTCATCTCCATCATGAGGTTTAATCCCAAGTGTAACAGGTAACTGAATGGCACTGGTGTATTTTTGTACAGGAGTGGTAAACAAGTAATTGTACTGGACATAAAAGTGTGAGTCAAAATCTGGTGTTTTAGAAATTAATTTTACATGGATTCTATTCTTATGATGGCATATGGAGCCTTGCCACAGACATAGACAATATACTGGGGATATTTGAGATACATAATCCAGTCAAAAGGATGCCTTGTAAATAGATGCATAAAAATAAGAAAAGTACTTTAATATTTTATTGACTTCACAGGTTTATTATACCTGTGGAGCCACGAGCAGACAAACAAGAAGCTGCTCTCACCACGTCTGAGAGAGACAGCTCTACAGATGAACCCCTTAAAAAGAAGCAAAAACTCACAGGTGAGTGCTGCCACTCATAAGTACAGTGTATACAATATTAAATTACAATTATTTTTTTTGACATTTTTTCTTTTAAGTGATTCTCTTTGATCATTTTGTAGCTAGAGGAGCAGTGTCCCAACTTCAGTGTTTAAACTCTCATGTACAGTAGACCCTCTCATAATGTAAAGGGTGGGTGCCTGAAAATCATCATTGTGTACAAAAAAAAAAAAAAAAACTTATGCAAAGTGATGAATGTATGGGAAAAATAGGGTTACAATCCAGGCATCTCAAAAAAAAAATCCTTACAACGTTTAGTTGCAAATGCACTATTTTAAAAGTAAACACTTGTATGTATATTTTATCCTAGCTCAAAGTGTAGTTCATATTGTTTGATGACTTAGTAGTGTATGGAAAGGGTTGATTTGACTGTACTCAGTGAAGGTGGATGGACATGGTTGTGTTGATGTGGATGCAAAGTTGTTAGTAAGTTTGTGCCTGAAATCACCTGTTGATTCTTATCTGAACACAAAGCAAAGCCCCCTCTCCCCTGTTTTTTCTCCAGAATCCACACTTTTCTGTTTTATTAGCAGTGCTGATCTCTCTGACATTTTTTTAAACTCATTGCACTCAGTACTGCTCATTACACAAGCTTTTATTTTTTTTCTAATTGTATTGATGGTGAAATCTCTCAGACTTAAATTAAGAGTGGCTAGAATCATTAACATATACACCACTCTTAGGCATATCTAAAATTTCCACTCTTTATTTTTCTTATTTTCTCCGGCTTCACAAGCATTCCTTTTGAGTGCCGTGGTTAATATCCAGAGATGAGATGGGATAATGAAAAGATCCAAAATCATATGTTAAACAGAGTGAGTAGGACACATGAATCTTCTAGAATGTGACTGTGGGTAACATGGGTGGCTATGGGAAGGGAAGTACCGTGATTTCTGTCAGTATCAGGGGACTCGCCTCCCCGAGCTTTGTTTTTTAAAATAATCCTCATCTCTAGGTTTCAATTTATTGTATTAAATGTCACCTGATGTAAAAAACTGTACCTGAGATCATACTTTATTTTGCTGGAATTTAATTTGGTTAATTTTTTATTAGTCATGTGCAATGCTATAGTTTTTATCTATTCTCATGTTTGTTATATTCATTAGAATTACTTTTATCTTATGTCTCTCTTTAATGTCTTTGTATACAGGAGGGCCCCACTTATACATTATTATTATTATAATCAAAAAGAAGCGCTAAGCCACAAGGACTATACAGCCCCACTTATACAGCAGGTTAAGTTCTGGGCTACTGCTGTAAAGTGAAAATCACTGTAAAGTGAAACATAACCTTTTTACACTTTCAAATACATATAAAAGCCTGATAGCATGCTCACACTATCATACATTAAGTGAGCAATAAAGCTAGGCCTAAAAATGCATATACGGTATGCACATTACTTACATTAAAATATTTTTGTCCTTAGCTTATAGTGAATAATGAATATATTTATTGTAGAAAGTTTGAATAAATGAAGAATGGGCATAACTGAAAACCACTGTATTGGTGAAACACTGTAAAGTGAAGCACTGTAAAGCAGGGCCCTCCTGTACATATATGTACAGTGAACATTTTTTGTACTTATTTATTACATTCTATTAGACTTTAGTTTTTAGCTTTCTCAAAATACTGTGCATAATCAGGGACCAGCCATGTGAATCAAATGCTGTGCTACTGAGCTACAGGTCACCTTTAATTATGTAGTACAGTATTTAACCCTTTCAGTGTCGAGCCTGTTGTATCACGGCTTTGAAGCTGTGATACAACAGCTCACAGTGAGCAGTAAATTTGGGCCTAGAGAGGAGAGCATGGGTTTATGCAGTAAGTGGGCACCATATAAAAAAAAATCCTGCAGCATGCAGTGCATACTGAGAAAAAAACTGTGACCTCGTTTGTGGTTTAAAACAGCAACGTTGCGATGTATTTTCATATTGTTTTTATGGTTGTATTCTCTGTTTCTTGGTCTCATTCGATAGAATGGAAGATATAGTACAGAAATAGAGATGATTTTGATTAGATTTGGGAGTGAAAGTAGCTTGAAATTGAGCCCTAAGTAGTAGAAATGTTAAATTTTTGCCGATATTCTAGAGTACAATATACATCCAACTGGCCAGTCTAATACACATTTAGGAATGCATTGACATTATTTATGCAATTATTACAACAATGCAGTAGCCTGCATAAAAGTAAATTTTAAATTTTTTGTGTGAATAAAAAATTCAAAATGAAAAGCAAGCATAATATAAGAGGGGCCTGGAGATGTGACTAAGGAGCAGAAGAAATGTTTATTTAGTGCCAGGAATGTCTGCATTGTTTATTCTGGACCCTGTTTTCAAAGTGGCAATTTTTGAATTTTGGGTGAAATTGGCCAAATTACTGATTTCTGATCACTATTGGGTAGTTGAAATAGGTAAATGGGCGGTTTCTTATACTCACTTGATAGAATAGAAAGATTGCTAGTGAAATAGCTATGAGTTTGGTTGATAGGAGCAATGGAATTGGCCAAAAATAGAGCATAAAGTGGGTGAAATTGCCAATGCGTCAATATTGCTGCTAAGTGTGAGAGCATAATTGCGTAAGTTTTCCATCAAATTTTGTACTTTTGGTTTTAATACCTTCGGATAAAGATTCTCTGTCATTTCATAAGATAAAATATTTTTTTTTTTTAATTCTTTGACCCTGGGAGCAAGTTTGTGAGCAGGGTCATGACACTGAAAGGGCTAAAACTTGATTTTGATAGGTAAACAAAGTACAGTATGAAAAAGTAAAATATTCGCTGTTGCAGTAATGTATAAGTGTGCAGCTAATGGAACTAGAAATTGAAATAATTTGGTGTTTTTTGTCACACTACCTGCAGAAAAGTGTGGAAGCAAATTACAATATATAGTGTACAGAATCTACATTGTAGAAGTTTCCTTTCCTTGACACCTCCACTTCTTTCCCTTTGTCATCTTCGCCACCCTTGCCACATAACACTGAAGGGCCCACACTTCAGTGCACATTCAGAGAGGTGATAGGAAACCATTTGAACCACAGGCTTGTCTTGTTAACAAGTGTGGTTGTGGATTTACTGGAAAAGGCCATTAGAAGAAAGTGGATAAAATATTTGGAGAGCTAAAGGCTGCTGATTACAAATGGTTTGGTGTTTGATTTGCAAATTCCTGTATGGTAGTGTGCAATATGTCAAGACTATTAGGTTCTTGTGGTATATTCAAGAATGAAATGAATGGGACAATTGCATTTATTTATATTTTAAGAAGGCTTTGATATTGTTCATCACTGGAAATTGAAAAAAATAAGAGGATGAAAAGGCAAACTACTACAATGGATGACAATTTCTCTGTAAAGAAAATGTGAAGTGATATGAGATGAAATATCTTTGTAATGTCACCAGTGAGATGTTGCAGTGAATAGTGCAGGAAGACCTGGATAGATTGAACAATGGAGTGCAAGATGGAAAGTAGACTTTATTGTGAATAAGTATTATGCAGTAAAAATGGAAGAAGGTAAAGGAAGTCACATGAGGAATATAGTATTTATATATTGATGAGTTATAGGTAGTAGGTTGGTAGACAGCAGCCGCCCAGGGAGGTACTACCGTCCTGCCAAGTGAATGTAAAATGAAAGCCTGTAATTGTTTTACATAATGGTAGGATTGCTGGTGTTTTTTCTGTTTCATAAACATGCAAGGTTTCAGGTACATCTTGCTACTTCTACTTACACTTAGGTCACACTACACATACATGTACAAGCATATATATACACACACCCCTCTGGGTTTTCTTCCATTTTCTTACTAGTTCTTGTTCTTGTTTATTTCCTCTTATCTCCATGGGGAAGTGGAACAGAATTCTTCCTCCGTAAGCTATGCATGTTGTAAGAGGCGACTAAAATGCCAGGAGCAAGGGGCTAGTAACCCCTTCTCCTGTATATATTACTAAATGTGAAAGGAGAAACTTTTGTTTTTCCTTTTGGGCCACCCCGCCTCGGTGGGATACGGCCAGTGTGTTGAAAGAAAGAAGAATACAGTGGACCCCCGCTTAATGATCACCTCCCAATGCGACCAATTATGTAAGTGTATTTATGTAAGTGCGTTTGTATGTGTATGTTTGGGGGTCTGAAATAGACTAATCTACTTCACAATATTCCTTATGGGAACAAATTCGGTCAGTACTGGCACCTGAACATACTTCTGGAATGAAAAAATATCGTTAACCGGGGGTCCACTGTATTAATGAGTGTTATGGTCTTAAATTTTGATTGTTGAGTAAGTCAAAAAAATATTTTGTGCATTATCAAAGAAGATTTTTATCTTTTTAGGCACCAATAAGAAACGCCCGAAGTTGATAAAAGCACCAAAGAGCAGCAAGTTGTGTAGGGCTGTGTGGTGTTTACGTGCAGGCGAAGAAGTTAGTGGCAAGTGCACATTTCCTAAATGTGACTTCATGCATGATGTTGCTGCATTCTTGAGTTCTAAGCCACAAGACATAGGATCAGTGTGTCACAACTTCCAAAAGTATGGCATGTGCCATTACGGTTTCACGTGCAGGTAGGCAAAGGGTCAACAATAAAGTTTTCTTAGAACATGCTTTTCATAACATAAATACTGCAGTGTTTACTTATTTCATATGTCAAGAATCTCATTGTACAGTACTGTACATAATCTACAAATTCTATTTTTTTTTTATACTTCGACTGTTTCCCATAAATGCAGGGTGACCCAGAAGAAAGAAAAACCCATAAAGAAAAAGCTTTCATTATCAATCAACACTTTTCAGTTTTCATTGCATTTATGGATTTAGAAAAGGCATATGATAAAGTGGATAGGGAAGCAATGTGGCATATGCTGCAAGTGTATGGAATAGGTAGTAAGTTACTAAATGTTGTAAAGAGTTTTTATGAGGACATTGAGGCTCAGGTTAGGGTGTGAAGGAGAGAGGGAGATTACTTCCCAGTAAAAGTGTAATGTCACCATGGATGTTTAATATATTTATAGATGGGATTGTAAAAGAAGTAAGTGCCAGGGTGTTTGGGAGAGGGATGGGAGTAAATTATGGAAATCAATTACAAATTGGGAGTTGACACAATTACTTTTTGCTGATGATACAGTACTTTTGGGGGATTCTAAAGAAAAGTTGCAAAGGTTAGTGGACGAGTTTGGGAGAGTGTGTAAAGGTAGAAAGTTGAAAATGAATATAGATAAGAGAAAGGTGATGAGGGTATCAATTGATTTAAATAAAGAAAAATTGGATATCACATTGGAGGGAGCAAGTATAGAAGAAGTGAATGTTTTCAGATATTTTGGAGTTGACTTGTCAGCTGATGGGTTTATGAAGGACGAGGTAAACCATAGAATTGATGAAGAAAAAAAGGTGAGTGGTTCATTGAGGTATCTATGGAGACAAAGAACATTATCTATGGAGGCAAAGAAGGGAATGTAAAAGAGTATAGTGGTACCAACGCTCTTACATGGGTGTGAAGCATGGGTTGTAAATACTGCAGCGAGGAGGCGGCTAGAGGCAGTGGAGATGTTGTGTCTAAGGGCAGTGTGTTGTGTAAATACAGTGAACCCCCGCCTTAGGATGGCATCGCATTAAGTTAAATCCGCCATATGATACATTTGAACGCAAAAATTTTTGTCACGCGATTCGTCCGGGACGCGTCCCATGTGTGGCCTCAGTGCCAGTGTTTACAAGCCAGCCAGTGCGGTTGCATCCACGCATACATTCAGTACATTTCACCTTATCCCAGTGTTTTTTGTGCTTGTACCTGCAAAATAAGTCACCATGGGCCCCAAGAAAGTGTCTAGTGCCATCCCTGTGGTAAAAAGGGTGAGAATTAGTATGGAAATTTAGAAAGATTTTGAAGGGCTAACCCTGAGAAGCCTATGCCAGTTGTGGAATCCATTGTGCCTACTTCAAAGATTAAGGAAATGTGTGCAAAGTGGGTTGAAGTGCAAACTTTTATGGATGAAAAGCACCCTAACACAGCTATTGCAAGCAGTGCTGGTGACTATTACAATGACAATGTTGTGGCCCATTTTAGGCAAATCTTAAAGGAACGGGAGGTACAGAGCTCTATGGACAGATTTGTTGTATGACAGAGCTCCAATGACTCTCAAGCTGGTCCTAGTGGCATTAGAAGGGGAATCCCCTAGTGGCATTAGAAGGGGAATCCCCTAGTGGCATTAGAAGGGGAATCTCCTAGTGGCATTAGAAGGGGAATCCCCTTCCATTAGGACTTGCTACCTCAAGTCCTAATGGAAGGGGATTCCCCTTCTAAACAATAACTTCCACACTCTCCCCTCCTCCCATCCCATCAATCATCATCAGATCTTCAATAAAGGTAAGTGTCATGTATTCTATTCTTAGTAGAGTAGTAATTGTGCATGTCTTCTTCAGTTTGTGTGTATTAAAATTAATATTTCATGTGGTAAAAATTTTTTTTTTTTCATACTTTGGGGTGTCTTGCATGGATTAATTTGATTTCTTTTATTTCTTATGGGGAAAATTAATTCGCCTTATGATAATTTCGGCTTACGATGAGCTCTCAGGAACGGATTAACCCTTAAACAGTCCAGTTAGATCGACGTTCAGATCTGTAGTGCTCCAAAAGTAGATCTATGTTTTCTTTACATATTTTCAAATATAACAAAAAAAAAAAAAGTAGATAAAAGTTTTTTTACACATTTTCAAATGTAAAAAAAAAAAAAAAGATGATGTACATTTTTTTTCATACTTTCAAATGTTGAAAAAACGTATATATATGTTTGGACCGTTTAAGGGTTAATATCGTAAGGCGGGGGTCCACTGTATTATGCAGAGAATTTGTAGTGTGGAAATTAGGAGGAGGTGTGGAGTTATTAAAAGTATTAGTCAGAGGGCTGAAGAGGGGCTGTTAAGGTGGTTTGGTCATTTAGAAAGAATGGATCAAAGTAGAATGACTTGGAGAGCATATAAATCTGTTGGGAAAGGAAGGCGGGGTAGGGGTTGTTCCTGAAAAGGTTGGAGGGAGGTGGTAAAGGAGGTTTTGTGGGTAAGGGGCTTGGATTTCCAGCAAGCGTGTGTCAGCGTGTTAGATAGGAGTGAATGGAGATGAATGGTTTTTGGGACCTGACGAGCTCTTGGAGTGTGAGCAGGGTAATGTTTTGTGAAGGGATTCAGGGAAACCAGTTAACCAGACTTGAGTCCTGGAAATGGGAAATACAATGCCTGCACTTTAAAGGAGGGGTTTAGGATATTGGCAGTTTGGAGGAACATCTAAACTGTCATATCTGAGCGCCTGTGCAAAGACAGTGATTATGTGTGAGTGATGGTGAAAGTGTTGAATGCTGATGAAAGTTTTTTCTTTCTTTTTTGGGTTTTTCTTTCTTTTTTGGGTACTCTGCCTTGGTGGGAAATGGCCGACGTGTTAAATAAAAAAAGGTATCTATAAAACACGCAATACTATAAAGGTATATGTAAAATGAAATTTTTAAGATGAGAGAAAAAAGCAAGATGTAAAGATAAGTGTAAGTATATGTGACATAATGCTAGTTGGAATAGTTGGTTGCATAGGGATATGGATATTGAACATCTGCATGAGGGAGAGAATAAGACAATCTGTAAAATACTCGTGCATCACTTTATAATGCTTTTAATTGCTTTGCAGATATGGTGGGAATCACATTGAAGGTTTGGGTAATAAAGTGAATGAGGAACTCTGGGCCAAGTATGAGAACAATCCAACAGTCAGCAATATTTTGAAGAAAGAGGTGTGAAGATTTATTTTTATCTGATGAGGTTGTCGTTTTTTTTTCTTGCTAGTCGTACATTACCATGCTTGGTATGGTATACATTGGTTTGTCCAGATACTCTTAGTCAGGGATGAGACTCTCTCCGCATAGTCACTCATTTAGTTCTTGGCCAGACAAAGCAGTACTTAATTTGTCTGACAAAAGGACTAGCACTTCATCCATGCCATTGACTCCATATTTACATTAGACTGGATTGTTAATTTCATTGCAAAGATATTAATTTTTCTGAAAATAATGTTTGAGCATGATATACACAATATGTTGCAAATAAATAGTTCCTAGTGTTCTTTTGAATTCATTCAAGCCTTTCATATTTTCCATCATATAAGGCATAAAAAGGGGCTCTTTATAAAGTAGTTTATACAAGTTTATTACTATATTTGTATACTGTACAGTATGCTACTTACAGAAATAGTTATGTGTTTGATTTGGAAAAGTAAAGGTCTGAATTCACCCTATGTCTCTTGCAAAGTGAATAACGTTACATACTAAGAAAAAGGGTGATAGCAATTGCAGAAAGTTGTGGTAAAACAAGGAAAGAACATGTCTGCTTCCCACCCACGTATACAGTACAGTACTTTATTTTCTCAATTTTTTAAAAATGCTCAAGTTTTATATGACATGTTGCTATATGTAGATAGAATATCAGTTGTTTACAGGAAAATATGCTGTATGCTGTTGCTATGTAATAGCAATAGGTTGGCATTTACTGCCACTGCTCTCAATAAGAACAGACACTGGCCATTATGTGTTGCCAGTCACTTCTTGAGGAAGGTAGCACAGATCCCTAGGCTACCTTCCTTCTAGCAGGGCTTCAACTTAGTGTTAATTCATTCCTAGAAATTGTTCACAAGTTGAATGTTTGGAGCTCAGAACCAGTTTTCCTATGGACATCTGTGTTATAATCAGTAGTGTGTTCTCTAGCCATAATATTTCTTATCTAATTCCATTTATATTTTTAACTAAGAATATTTACCCAATACTTTACATGTTAATTAAACAGAACAGAGCTACAATGTAATATAGAGTACAATACAGTACAGGAAGGTAGTGGTGAGAGTAACTGTGAGAGTTAGGTTGTAACATGAGTTTTTGTTGTTCTCACCCACAGGACATGTCCAGTACCTAGGCAGCAGAGTATTTAAGTGCCTTTTTGCTTTTCGTAACATTATTCTGATGTAACAGACACTTGGACAATCCCCCTATTAGTTTGTTACATAGAGGGTTGACTGTAGTTGTGAAATGACCCTCAAAATAGTCTTATATTAATATTGTTTAAACAAAAAATTTAATGATTAATTTTACTGTTTATTTTATTTACTAATTACAGATTCAGTACGAGTTGCGAAAGCGGCAATATGATTTCAACAGAGCAAAACAAGCATACTGCAAAGCACAATCAGAAGTTGCTAAGAACAGTACCATGGAAATAAATACAAATAGAGAGAAAAATCAGAAAAGGACTTCAGCTATTGAAAAGGGTGAGGGTAAAATAGATGACCATGGTGGCAGTGATGAGCAGAATTCATTTAATGGTTCTCATGATCATACTGAAAATTCAGAAACAGACTCTTTAGCACCTGAAACAGAGCACAGAAACTGCTTAGGAAATGCTGAAGATAAAGCAGAAAGCATGAATGCAGAAGAGACAATAACTGAGGCAGCTGATGTGAAACCTGTGGCAGATGTTAGTCAAAAACAAGAAACACAAATAAAAGATAATAATCTAGGACCAGCTCCTGAAGAAGATCTAATTAAACTTAATTCGAGAGAAAAAAAGAAGGTAGGGCTATTTCTTGCTGAGTACTCTGTAATATTTGCTAAAACAGGTTCTCTGACATCCAGCATTCAAGAACTGAGGTTGCATAACATCCAACACTCAGGAACTGAGGTTGTATAACATCCAACACTCAGGAACTGAGGTTGTATAACATCCAACATTCAGGAACTGAGATTGTATAACATCCAACACTCAGGAACTGAGGTTGTATAACATCCAACATTCAGGAACTGAGATTGTATAACATCCAACACTCAGGAACTGAGGTTGTATAACATCCAACATTCAGGAACTGAGGTTGTATAACATCCAACACTCAGGAACTGAGGTCGTATAACATCCAACACTCGGGAACTAAGGTTGTATAACATCCAACACTTAGGAACTGAGGTTGTATAACATCCAACACTCAGGAATTGAGGTTATATGACATCCAGCACTCAGGAACTGAGGTTGTATAACACCTAACACTCAGGAACTGAGGTTTTCTGACATCCAACACTCAGGAACTGAGGTTTTCTGACATCCAACACTCAGGAACTGAGGTTGTATAACATCCAGTGCTCTGGAACTGAGGTTGAAATAAAAGTCTTTATATAAAATAAATCCCCGACTACAAAGCCTAGCAGGGCGTGGTAGACAGAGTTTTATCTGTACTTCCGGGATAAATTTACTTGATTATACTTTTAGGATATCCATACCATAGACATGAAGAAACATTTAGGCTTAAAAAAAAAGTATATAGGGTAAGTCAAGATTTCTTCATTTTTTTTTTCTGGCTATCATTCCAGTCAAGCCTGACATGTAATAGAAGAACTTATATTTTCCTTCTAAATGTCAAATGCACATGTACATTTTTTTTTTACAGGTGCTTGAGATACAGTAATTGGTGTGGATGGTCATACAGGTTCTACTACTTTGTTGAAGATTATTGAGCAAAATGATAAGTTATAAACTTTGCATAGTAAAACCTCACTTTAAAGGTCACTATTTAATTAATGGATTTGGATTTATTTTGAAATCTGTGGCTGGATAACATTTGTAAGCATCAGAGCCCATTAAATTCAGAATTGTTCATTATTCTTAAGGTACACTGGGGATTTTTTTTTTTTTAGATTTAATGGATAATCAGCTTTAACAGACATACTCTCCCTCCCCATTAGTCTGTTAAATCTAGGGTTCACTGTATTTGTTTATACAGTTTAATCATTTACATTGTACTCTTTTCTACATGTTATTGTTATAGGTGAATGTGTATTTTACTCTTAACATCATTTCTCTACAAAAAATTATATTATACTAACACACATGGTCTTGATACAAATTTTTTTTTTTTTTTTCAACAAGTCGGCCATCTCCCACCGAGGCAGGGTGACAAAATACATATTTATTATCACATGGCTGTTTCTCACCAAGGTAGGGTGATCCATAACAAAAAAAACATTTGCCTCATACATTCAATTACTGTCTTGCCAGATGTGCTCAAACATCACATTTCATATGATCTGAACTCTAATATTCCTGCTTCTCCTTCAGAATGCAGGCATTGTGCTTCCACCTCCAAGACTCAAGTCTGGCTAACTGATTTCTCTCAATCCCTTCATAAATGTGTTCTTGCTTACACTTCAGCAGCATAACAAATTCTCAAAACTATATGTCTCCACACAGCATTGTGTGACCCTTATGGGTTTAGCACTTAGTTATGATTATAACAATAATAATTTATCTCCACTCACCCCAATCTAACATGGTTACACATCCCTTCAGGAGGCTCAAGCCCCTTCCATTTAACCCTTTCAGGATCTGTGTTCTGCGGGTTTAAAGCCAGGGTCTGTGCCGTAGTAGTATGTGATGAGCTCAGCTCACTCAGATAAGTTGTGAGCAGTAAATTTGGGCCCAGATATGAGAGAATGGGTCTATGTAATAAGTGTGCACCATAAAAAGAAAATCCTGCAGCACGCATTGCATAATGAGGAAAACACTGTGACCATGTTTTTGGTTTCTTGGTCTCATTTAATAGAAAAGAAGACATATTACAGAAATAGAGATAATTTTGATTGGGTTTAGGACTGAAAATAGCTTGAAATTGAGCTCAAAGTAGTGGAAATTTCAATTTTTGCTGATATTCAAGAGTAAACAAATCACATGATGTGTCCAATACATGTCAGCTGGTGGGTCTAATATGCGTTCACAAATGCACTGATATTATTTTTACAATTATGACAATATTGCATAACAGTAAATCTATTTTTTGGTGTGAATAACTTTTTTTTTTTTAACATATTGGCCATTTCCCACCGAGGCAGGGTGACCCAAAAAGAAAGAAAAAAAAAACATTTGTCTTTCAACACTTTCACCATCACTCGTACATAATCACTGTCTTTGCAGAGGTGCTCAGATACGACAGCTTAGACGATTTATTATCCCTCCAAACTGTCAATATCCCAAAACTCCTTTGAAGTGCAGGCATTGTACTTTCATGTCCAGGACTCAAGTCCAGCTAACCAGTTTCCCTGAATTTTTTTTTTTTTTTTTTTTTTCAACAAGTCGGCCGTCTCCCACCGAGGCAGGGTGACCCAAAAAAGAAAGAAAATCCCCAAAAAGAAAATACTTTCATCATCATTCAACACTTTCACCACACTCGCACATTATCACTGTTTTTGCAGAGGTGCTCAGAATACAACAGTCTAGAAGCATAAACATATAAAGATACACAACATATCCCTCCAAACTGCCATCTCTTCACAAAATATTACCCTGCTCTTACTCCAACAGCTTGTCAGATCCCAAAAACCATTCGTCTCCATTCACTCCTATCTAACATGCTCACGCACGCTTGCTGGAAGTCCAAGCCCCATGCCCACAAAACATCCTTTACCCTTTCCCTCCAACCTTTTCGGGGACAACCCCCGCCTTCCTTCCCAAACAGATTTATACGCTCTCCAAGTCATTCTACTTCGTTCCATTCTCTCTAAATGACCAAACCACCTCAACAGCCCCTCTTCATCCCTCTGCTTAATACTTTTAGTAACTCCACACCTCCTAATTTCCACACTACGAATTCTCTGCATAATATTTAAACCACACATTGCCATTAGACACGGCATCTTCACTGCCTCCAGCCACCTCCTCAGTGCAGCATTTACAACCCATGCTTCACACCCTTGTAAGTGTTGATACCACTATATTCTCGTACATTTCTTTCTTTGCTTCCATGGATAACGTGTTTTTGTCTCCACAGATACCTCAGCGCACCACTTGCCTTTTTTCCTTCATCATTTCTATGGTTAACCTCATCCTTCATAAACCGATCTGCTGACAAACCAGCTCCCAAATATCAGAAAACATTCACTTCTTCCATACGCCCTCCCTCCAATGTGATATCCAATTTTTCTTTATCTTTATCGTTTCATACCCTCATCACCTTTCCCTTATCTATATTCACTGTCAACTTTCTACCTTTACACACCCTCCCAAACTTGTCTGCTAACCTTTGCAACTTTTCTTTAGAATCCCCCAAAAGCACAATATCATCAGCAAAAAGTAACTGTGTCAACTCACATTTTGTATTTGATTCCTCATAATTTAATCCCACCCCTCTCCCAACACCCTAGCATTTATTTCTTTTACAACCCCATCTATAAATATGTTAAACAACCATGGTGACATTACACATCCCTGTCTAAGACCTACTTTTACTGGGAAGTAATCTCTCTCTCCTACACACCCTAAAATGAAAATAAAAATTCATGTGTAAAGCCTGGAAACATAACTAATGAACAGAGGAAATGTTATTTTAGTGTCAGAAATGCCTGCATTGTTTATTCTGGACCCTACTTTGAAACTGGAATATTTTGAAATTTGTGTGAAATTTGCCAAATTATCAATATCTGACCACTTTATTGGGTAGTTGAAATAGTTGATTGGGTGGTTTCCCATGCTCAGTCGATAAAATAGAAGGCATATTAGCGAAATAGCAAAGAATTTGGTTGACTGAAGCAATGTAATTGGCCTAAAATAGGAGTCAAAGTGGGCAAAGTCACTGATGCATAAATATTGCTGACAGCAAAATTCGCGATAACGTACGTTTGTTAATTTTCCATCAAATTTCGTACTTTTTGTTTTATTACCGTCAGAAAAAGATTACAATTTCATAAGAAAAAATAACAAAATTTTTTTTTGAAAATTCTTGGACCCTGTAGACAAGTTTCAGATCGAGGGTCTGGACCCTGAAAGGGTTAAAACCTTCTTATCCTCCTTTCAACCATTCCTGGGATGACCCCTTTCCCTTCCTACCACTCTTGATGTAAGTACATTTTTGGTCATTCTGTTCTGCTCTATCTCTAAATGCTCAAAGCACATCAAGAAGCCCTTTTCTGCCCTCTGAATAATACCCTTTGTAACCCCATACTACCTAAATTTTATGCTCCTAAGTCTTTGCATAATACAGTGGACCCCCGACTTACAATATTAATTCGTTCCAGAAGGCTGTTCGGGTGCCGTTACCGAACGATTTTGCTCCCATAAGGAATATTGTAAATTAGATTAGTCCGTTTCAGACCGCCAAAAATACACTTACAAAAGCACTTACAAAAATACACTTTCATAATTGTTCGAGTTAGGAGCTGATCGTAAATCAGGGGTCCACTGTATTCATACCATGCATTGTTCACAAATGTGCCATCTATACTGCCTTCAGCCCTCTCCTCAGTGCAGTATTTAAAGCCCATCCCTTGCACCCATTTAAAAGGGTTTTTATTATTCCATCTGTTCTGTGATCACTTCATCTTTAATAGACCCATTTGTTGGGAATCCAATTCTTCATTGCCTAATCTTTTTTTTGTTACTCTCATCACCTTGCTCTTTTCTGTGTTCAGTTTTAATTTCTTTTACACACCTTTCCAGACTCTTCCACCAAACTTTGCAGCTTCTCTTCAGAATTTCCCAGAGAACTGTGTCACTTTTCAAAGAGCAACTGTAGCAACTCAGTTTGTATCAGATTCATTTCATTATCATTTGATCCTACTCTATAATGTGCTTATTTTATAGCTGCCTAGGGAACTAGGTGTGGGCATATTTTTTTTTTCCAACAAACTGGCCATATCCCACCAAGGCAGGGAGGGGTATACCAAAGTATAGTGGTATCAACACTGTTATATGGGTGTGAAGCATGGACTTTGAATATTGCAGTGAGGAGGCAGGAGGCAGTAGAGATGTCATGTTTGAGAGTGATGTGTTGGGTAAATATTCTACGAAGAATTTGGAGTGTGAAGATTAGAAAATGATGTGGGGCTGAGAAGAATTTTATGTGGGGGTTTGGGCATTTAGAGAGGATGGATCAGAATTGGATGATTAAAAGGATATGTAAAGCTAGGGTGGAGGGACCAAGGGGGAGGGGTTGGAGGAATGGGGTAAAAGGAGGTTTTTAAGTGCTAGGGGCTTCACCAACAGGCTTGTGTGAGTATGTTAGATTGGAGTTAGTAGAGACAAGTTGTTTTTATGATTTGACATGCTTTTGGAATGTGAGCAAGGTAACATGAAGGTATTCAGGGTAACTGGTTAATCAGCCAATCAACCTTCACCTAGTGCTTCTTGGATAGCCAGGTGCTCACTCAGTTCATGGATGAAGCCCATGAACACCTGATGTGGGATAGGTCCTGTCCTCTATGGTTCACCGAGTTGTAAAGGGATAACCTTCCTACTGTCATCTGTGTAAAACCACCTCCTCCTCTCCTAGTGTTTCAGATGAAAACAGGGTTCTTGCTGCTTCCTTACATGGTCATTCCCAGTGCCCTTTGAAATCCAGGAAAGGACTGATGGGTCTGGTAGGGAAACTTCGAATTCTGTTGAACTTGAATCCAAGTCTCATTCATGATATCATTCAATATATGAGCAGACAGCAACTGAACCATTGAATTCAGGATTATGCCTGATGTTGAAATCATTTCTTTATATGAATTCAAGGTTCACATTCACTTCCTTGATTTGGTGAATGTTTGGGCCCCTTTCTCTATTGGAAATTTTCTGAACCTTTCTCTGGTAGTAAGTTCACTTCAGTTCTACAAAGTGGTGAGGTCCTTCTCTTCCGCAAATGTTCTGCTAGGCTCTACAGTGATGGTCAGTGACAAATAGGCTTTAACCCTTTCAGGGTCCAAGGCCAAAATCTGAAGTCACGCACCAGTGTCCAAGAAATTTTGAAAAAAAAAAAAAAATTATTTTTTCTTACAGAATTAAAGAGCATATTTTTGTGAAGGTAATAAAACAAAAAAAATTAGAATCTGATCAGTACTTACCGAGATACAGTGCCAAGAAGTTTGTAGAAAATGATGTGGTGGCGGCAACATCGACGAATTCCACATACGCGTATTATATTATTTTGTTGTTTTAGTTGTTTTTTCTTTTCTTTTCCAATTTTTTTCTATTCCTACTAACATTTGGGGCCTGAGAGACCAATACTGTATATAATTTATATATATAAACTCACTGTATTGAACACAATAACCGCACTAAAGTTATTATCATATTATTGTTTACCACTGTTGTTTATTACAATAAACATGCACAAATATTGTATAATACTAATGTTCTATCATATATTTACATATTTACAATCACTGGACATGGTTTTAGAACTGCTGGAGCTTGTGGAACTCCTTGAAACAAGGCACCATGCACAGAGGCACCTTACATTCCTCACACATAAACCGAGTGTCTTTGCGTCTTTGTTGCCGTCGTTTTGTTTGTGCACAGACAATGCATCTCTTCTGAGCAAATTTCTTTTGAGTTGAAGGAAGCTGTATTATGAAATGATCACCTTCTCTTCTCAAACGCTTGGGTATATTGTGATGAATTCGAGGACCATGTTGTATTGCAGGTGTTGTTACCTGGTACTTCATTATGAGTTGTCTGACAACAGACAAACAAAATTCACCATACGGTGGTCTGTTACCAGTCTTTATTTGGTACATATTATATGCATTCAGCATTGAAATGTCCATGAGATGGAAGAAAAGTTTCATGTACCACTTGTAACTCTTACGAACACAGTCAACAAAACCAATCTGCATGTCACACTTGTCAACCAAGCGCATGTTTTGTGTATAATCAATCACTGTCACTGGTTTTCGAATACGTTCATTAGTCACTCGATCAACTTTGCCACTGTCTTGCATTTCATTACGGTGAATGGTTGTCAACAATGTGACATCTCGTTTGTCATGCCACCGTAATGCCATGATGTCATTGGCAGTAAACACCTGCACGTCATCACCACGAACACCTGCGTTGAGCCTGGGCATATGTTTACGATTAGAACGCACTGTGCCACACACATCTGTCTTGTTCACTCGCATGAAATCACTGAGTAATGGGCTTGTGTACCAGTTATCGGTATATAATGTATGGCCCTTACCAAGATAAGGTGCCATCATGTTTCTCACTACGTCACCTGATATACCCAATAACATCTTGGTATCTTTCAATGTTTACTACCCGTGTATACAACAATATCCAACACCAGGCCACTGTCACAATCACAGAGTACAAACAATTTTATACCAAAGCGGTTCCTCTTGCTCGGTATATACTGCTTGAATGACAGTCTACCTTTGAACAAAATCAAAGACTCGTCAATTACAAGATTCTTGAATGGATAAAAGTACATCCTGAACTTTTGTTTGAGATACATGAAAACATTTCTAATCTTGTATAACCTGTCACTTCTGTCAGGCCTGGTTTTGTCAGAGAAGTGCAACATACGTAAGAGTAGATAAACCTGTTCACTGGTATTATTTCACTGAAGGATGGGGTACAAATTAGCCGATCTGTGGACCAGTATGCTTTTATATTATGCTTATAGACGTGAGGCATAAGCATTATTGTTGCAAAAAGCAAATACATTTCTGCAACAGTCGTCTCTTTCCACCTGTGTAGTCTTGACTGTGGTGATAAGATCGTATTTGCCATGGTGTACTGAAAATACTTATTACTTTCCCTGACAATAGTTTCCATCAATGGCTGGTCAAAGAATAATTCAAAGAATTCCAGTTCATTGGCCGTGGTTCCAAGGGGACAGGTAGGTAGAATTCCACTTTGCGAGTCATCAAAGTGGTGAGGGCTGGGAACAAAATTGGGATTTTGCTGCCAATCCCAGATACGGTTTGCTGGTGGATACTGGACATCATAGGCTGGTTGTACGGGTGGTTGTGGCGGGCTGGTGGGTGACGCTCCGCTTTGTCCTTGAACTGACGAGTCAGCAGCGTGGGTTCCCGCGTGGCACAGCGAGTCACGCATGGCGGTGCCACTACCACCACCAGCCCCACTAACACCATCCACTGATGTCTGTGGCCCATCCATGCCAAGTGTAGCCACATCATCCTCACTATCACTACCTAAAACGGGTGTAGGGCCACGGGATGTACTCCGGGATGTACTACGGGATGTACTCCGTCCCCTGGGCATAGCATAGGGTACACTACCCGAGCGCATGCGGGGGGCGCACATACCGACGCTTCACTGGTGAATATGTTTCCTCACTATCACTACTCGAATGATCGTCGAGCGCAATAAAATCACAATCCACGTCAGAATCATCGTCATTACTGAAGTCAGAGGCCAGGCCACGGGAAAATATTAGTTTTCTCTTACGTTTAGGAACAACCGACCGTGAGTCACGAGTGCCCACACCAGAGGTAGAAGGTCGAGGATCGTCGGGGTTTTCTGCACTATTATCGATATCCTGGTCATTATTTTCGGTCACTAACTCATCAAAGCCGTAGAATTCGTCTTCATTTCCACTTCCATCAGTGTCAGAACTATCAGACAGGAAGAGGAGAGTCCCAATTTTCCGGGGAGTGAGAGCTGACTTGCGACGAGACATGGTGAACAAGGGTAACTGAGCCGGCGTTCCCACAATGCTATGCAGGCGCCTAGATTTTTTGTTTATGGCGCACACCCACCACGCAGACCCATTCTCTCATATGTAGGCCTATGAGCGCTTTCGCGCTAAATTTGACGGCGCTAGAATTTTGGCGTAGATCTACGGTTTGGACACTCACCGACCAGCCGTAGATCTACGGGACGGACCCTGAAAGGGTTAAGGCTATGTGCCCACAAAGGCCAATTTGACAGCTGCTGAGGCTTGAACATCCAGCAGGTTGTCTAAGTGTGTTAGAGTGGAGAGAATGGGATTGAGTAGTTTTTTATGGCTTGTGCCATTGGAGTGTGAGCAAGGCAACATTCATCAGTCGATTCAGGGAAAATCAGTTAGCTAGCGTTGAGTCCTGGAGTTGGGAAGTAGTGTCTTTTCTGTAAAAGAGGTGAGGATGTTACAGTTTGAAGGATAATTTGAATTGTGATGTCTGAAGATTTCTGGCAAGACAGCTATTGGATGAATTATAGTGACTGTGTTTCCTTTGTTTTTTGTTATCCTACTTTAGTGGGAGATATTCGATGTATTAATTTTTTTTAGTGACTTTAGATTGGACCTTTAGGAATGCAACTCCCCCTCCTGCAAATTTTTGGGATAGCTATACAAGGGACTAGGCATTTTGTGATGGGCATGGAAGAATAAAAATAAGATGACAGTTAACACAAACTTGTGAAAGCCCTTGATAATCACAATTGATGTGAGCAGCATTAATTACAGTATTATAGGTATTTGATATTTCTCAAATATTTCTTATTGTCTATTATGAAATTTTTACAATAGATTCTTAAAAATTACTGTCCTCCTAATTTTGTATTTGTAGAAGTTGATAAAGAGAATTGTTATTAATTAGTATTTTCTTTAATACTAGGTCTTCTAATTATGTCCAGATTGAATGGAGAGACAAGACATATCTGGCTCCTCTGACTACCTTGGGAAACCTGCCCTTCCGTCGCATCTGCAAGCAGTATGGAGTAGATATAACATGTGGAGAAATGGCACTTGCATCTTGTCTTTTGCAAGGTCCTCCTAGTGAGTGGGCCCTCGTTAAGCGCCATGAATCAGAAGACTGTTTTGGCATTCAGGTATTTCGAATATCGAAAATTTTATCAGTTTTTTTCTATTTATAATTCTTATAAGCTGACTAATCTGTAGTATCTAGCTATGAAAAGGTTGAGGTTAAAGGCAGTGACATCATCTGAAACCATGTGGGTGTGAATTATTAATAAATTAGAAAACTGTCTTGTTGTAAGAGGTATAATTTCTTAGGTGTGTGGAAGCAATGCAGAATCCATGGTTAAATGTGCCCAGGTTTTAGAGGAAAATACTGATGCTGACTTCATAGATATCAACATGGGCTGCCCTATTGATCTTATCTACAAACAGGTATGTTGAACTATAAATATAAGTAAATATTATTTCACATTGTTTGTTCTGTCTGCTACCTGAAAGGATGGTTGTATAATATGGTGGTCCTCATTTATATTTGTGGAAAAAATCTAAAATATTTGATCTGACCTTGACAAAAACTTTCATTTGATTCACTCGGATGTGGGGTTACCAAAAGTATAATTCAAAGGGCTGAAGAGGGGTCATTGAAGTGGTTTCAGCATATACAGAAGATGGAACAGAATAGGATGACTAGGAGGGTATACAAGAAGTCTAGGGTAGAGGGATGGAAGGAGTGGTAGGAGTCATCTTAGGAAGGGATGACAGAAGTGGGCAAATGAAGTTTTGAGTGCTAGGGGCTTCAACATACAACAGGTTTGTGTGAGTGTATTAGACTGGAGTGAGTGGCTATTGGCAGGTATTGGCCTTTGTGCTGTACCAGTACTCCTCACAATTTTTCAGAATACAGTACATGATATTTCTTGCCTTCTCACTCTTTGTTACATTTCCTCTCAGTTACAAACAAACAAAAAATATAAAATTATAATTATTATAAACATTTCACCATAGATTTCACAGGACCATTTAACCCTTAAACTGTCCAAACGTAGATCTACGTTTTTTCAACATTTGAAAGTGTGTAAAAAAACATAGATTTTTTTTTTTTACATTTGAAAACGTGTAAAAAAAACTTTGATTTACATTTTTTTTGATATATTTGAAAATATGTAAAAAAATGTAGATCTACTTTTGGAGCACTACGCATGTGAACGTAGATCTGTTTGGACAGTTTAAGGGTTAATGTAGTAGGGTCTGAACTTGCAGTGTTTCTCTTTTAAGGTAGGAGCACTTTGGAATTAATTAATAATTGACAAAGACTCACTCCTCTGAGTGTTGAGGGTTGGTGGGTGCAAGAGAGAGGGGGTGGGTGGATTTGAGAAAGAGGATGGGTGTAAGAGAGAGAGGTGTGTAGTGTGTGAAGTGAAGGTAGTTGTGAGTGAGATCAGTGTTGTGTGGTGCTGTCTCACTCCAGTTAAATGTGTCCCTGACATGGTTAACAATGTTACGCTGGAGCCTTCCTCAAGAACCCACCAGCCAACCCACCCACTGTCCTCATTTTCCAACCACTGATGCATTAACACAATGTAAATAATAAATCTACAGATCTTGACTAATTTTTGCCATAAAATTGTGAGGTATGCACAAATAACCTGTACTTAGTACCGTACCTCAGCCACATGCCTCTGCCATACCACTGAAATCAATTGCACACCCAGCAACCTCCACCCATAGCACCCACTCATACCCCCCTTTCTGCCCTATGACCACATTTCCTTGCTGTACACCCAGCACCCTCACTCATACTGGCTAGATGCCCTTGCTGTTCACCCAGCAACCTCATACTCATGCCACCCACCCCTTTAACCCTTTGAGGGTTTCGGCCGTACTAGTACGGCTTACGACCCAGGGTTTTTGACGTACTAGTACGCCTAAATTCTAGCGCCCTCAAATCTAGTGGGAGAAAGCTGGTAGGCCTACATATGAAAGAATGGGTCTGTGGTCAGTGTGCACAGTATAAAAAAAATCCTGCAGCACACAGTGCATAATGATAAAAAAAAACTGTGACCGTTTTTTTGGAATAAAACAGCCACTTTGCACTGTATTTTCGTATGGTATTTATTGTTGTATTCTAGTTTTCTTGGTCTTATTTTATAGAATGGAAGACATATTACAGAAATTGAGATGATTTTGACTGGTTTTACAAAGAAAAGTACCTTGAAATTGAGCTCAAAGTAGCAGAAATGTTCGATTTTTACCAAAGTTCAAAAGAAAACAAATCATGCCAATGTTCCAATACACGTCAACTGGTGAGTCTAATATTCTTTTGCAAGTGCGCCAATATTATTTATACCATTTTTTACACTAATGCAGTAGTCTGCATAACAGTAAATCTTCTATTTTTTGTGAGAATAAAAATTCAAAGTGGAAAGCAAAAGAATATAAGAGGGGCCTTGAGACGTGACTAATGAACAGAGGAAATGTCATATAAGTGCCAGGAATGTCTTTCTTGTTTATTCTGGACCCTATTCGGAAATTGGTATCTTTTGAAATTTGTGTGAAATTGGCAAAATTGCTAAATTGTGACCACTGTACTAGATAGTTGAAATTGATAAATGGGTGGCTTCTTGCACTCATTCGATAGAAAAAATGGAGTTCTAGCGAAATATTCATGTTTTTTGTCGACTAGTATAGTGGAATTGGCCGAAAATGGGGCTCAAAGTGGGCAAAATCGCTGATGCGTAAACATTGCCGAGACCGCTAACTTCGTGAGAGCATAATTCTGTAAGTTTTCCATCAAATTTCAAACTTTTGGTGTCATTATGATCGGGAAAAGATTCCCTATCTTTTCATAAGAGAAAATTATTTTTTTTTTTAAATTTGGCCGACCCTGAGAACGAGTCTCGGAGAGGGCCTGTCGACCCTCAAAGGGTTAATATCCCCATGGCCACATGCCATCACCCACATCATTCCAACCAGTAGCCTCCATCTGCAGTCCCAACCATCAGCATCCATCCACACAACCTGCCCTTATAATTTTCCTCATGGCCACGTGCCTACGCTTACATCATTCCCCCACAGCCACATTTTCCCTGCTACCTCACCCCCACCACATGACTTCCTCACCTTGACCTTTCACCTTAACATGCTGTCCACACATCTTATCACTTAATCACCCATCACCCTCATTACTATGCACTCACCTACTCAATCAATCATCATCCATGCCACCACTGACACTGGGCCACCAACACAACCACACCTTTCACCCACACCACTCTTTCACAGCTTCAAGCCCACAGAGCCTTGCTCCAAGAGCACCATACCCACATTTTACCAATGATTTCACAGCCCAAACACCCTAATACACTTTCCACACACCTAATCACATGGCTTCCCACCACCCTCATTGCCACCCACACCACCAACTGCACACTCACCCACCCAGTCATCCATCATCCACACCAACACCCACACTTTGCCAACGACACTGCCACCCACGTGGTCATGATCATACCACCTCATTTCTTCCAGCTTCCACCCTCCCCGTTACCCCTCCACTGCCTAGTATCCACAACCTCCCAACACCAGTCTCTATCTCCTGCCTCCACCCCCTCAACTGCCTGGTCTCCACCTCCTACTAAATGTGTGGATTGAAGACAAGAAAGAAAGGTCATGATTTATTTGTTTGCAGTTAAAATGTGTATTGTCATCCTGCTAGGAAGTCTGGACCATGGTACAATATCATAGATATTAGTAAACATAAACTACTTTTGTTTGTTTTGTTTATTCTTTTTGTTTTTTTTTGTGTTTTGTGTTTTTTTGTTTTTTTTTTTGTTTTTTTTTTCTTTTGTGTTCTTTTTTTTGTGTTTTTTTGCTGTTGTTTGTTGTTTTGTTTTGTTTTATTGTTGTTTTTTTTTATTGTGGTTTTTTGTGTTTTTTTTGTTTTTTTTTTCGGTTGTTTTTTGTGTTTTTTTTTTTTTTGTGTTTTTTTTTTTTGTTTTTGTTTTTTTTTTTTTTGTGTTTGTTTTGTTTTTTTTTTTTTTTTTTTTTTTTTGTTTTGATTTTTTTTATTTTTATTGTTATTTTCTTATTTGTTTTTTTTTTGGTATTTTTTTTTTGTTCTTTTTTTTTTTTCTGTTTTTGGTTTTTTGGTTTTGTTTTTTTTTTTTTTCTTTTCTGCTTGTTTTTTTATTATTTTTTTTTTTTGTTTTTTTTGTTTCTTTTGTTTTTGTTTTGAGTCTTTTTTTGTTGTGTTTTTGTTGTTGGTTTTTGTTTTTTGTTTTATTTTTTGTTGTTTGTTGTTTGATTGATTTGTTAGTGTTTTTCATGTGTTTTTTTTTTTGTTTATTTGTTTATTTTTTAGTTTTTTTTTTTTTGTGTTTTGTTTTTTTTTGTTTTTTTTTAGGTGTGTTTTTTTTTTGTTGTCTTTTTTTGTATTTTTTTTGTTTGTTTGTTTGTTTTTGTTTTTGTTTTTTTTTGTTTTGTTTTGTCGTTTGTGTTGTTTGTATTTTTTTTTGTTTTGTTTTTTTTTTTGTATCTTTGTTGTTGTTCTGTTGTTTGTTCTATTTTTCTCTTTTTTTTTTTTTTGTATTTTGGTTTCTGTTTTTTTTTTCTTTATTGTTTTTCTTTCTTTTTTTTGGTTTTTGGTGTTTTTTTTTGTTTGTTGTTGTTTTGTTGTGTTTTTGTGTATTTTTTTTTTTGTATTTGTATTTTTTTTTTTTTTTTGTTTTTTTTTTTTGTTGTTTCTTTGTTTGTTCTCTTTTTGGTTTTTTTGTTGTTTGTTTTTTTTGTCCGGTTGTGTTTTTCTTTTGTTTTTTTTTGTTTTTTGTTTTGTTTTTTTTATTTTTTTTCTCTTTTCTTTTTGTTTGTTGGTTTTTCACTTTTTTTTTTTTTTTGTCTCTTGTTTTTCTTTTGTTTTTTGTTTTTTTGTTTTTCTGTTGTTGTTTGTTTTTTTTTTTTTTTTTGTTTTTTTGTTTGTTTTGTTTTTTTTTTTTTTTTGTTCTGTTTTTGTGTGTGGTTTTGTTTTTTTGATTTTTTTTTGTTTTGTTGTGTTTTGGTGGTTTTTTTTTCGTTTTTTTTGTGTTTTGTTGTTTTTTGTTGCTGTTTTACTTTTTTTTTTTTTTTTGTTTGTTTGTTTTTTTTTTTTTTTTTTTGTTTTTGTTTTTTGTTGTTTGTTCTTTATGTTTTGTGACTTTTTTTTTTGTTTTTTTTGTTTTTTTGTTGTTTGTGTGTTTTGTTGTTTCTATTTGTTTGTTTTTGTTTTTTTTTTTTTTTTTTTTTTTTTTTTTTGTATTTTTTCTTTGTGTTTTGTTTTTTTGTGGTTTTTTGTTGTTTTTTTGTTTTAATTTTTTTTTATTTTTGTGTGTCTGTTTTTGTTTGTTTGTTTGTTTTGTTTTTTTCCTCCTCTCTTTTCCTTCTTATCTTTGGTTTTTATT